TAGTGAAAATCGACGTGGATGAAAAAACGATAACGGTTGAAAGTGGTGTAACGTTGAAGGATTTAATCAATGAAGCTTCGAAAAAGGGTTTGGCTTTGCCCTATACACCATATTGGTATGGTTTGACTATAGGTGGATTAATGGGAACTGGTGCTCATGGAAGCACATTGTGGAATAAAGGAAGTGCTGTTCATGATTATGTGGTTGAGATTAAGATTGTTAGGGCTTCTGATTCTGAAGATGGTTATGCTAAAGTTGAGATTCTTAATCAAAATAATGATGAAGACTTTAATGCAGTTAAAGTATCACTTGGTGTTCTTGGTGTTATTTCACAGGTATGGTTTATTTGTTTTATTTATTTCTTTATTTTTAGTTTTGGTGTTTTGTTGAAATTTGCTATTGATGCTTTTTGTTTGTATATGTTGTTTTGTTTCTCTTTTTTTTATGCATAAATGTGAATATACTCACATGTTTGATGAACTGTAATTAGTTTGAAACAAATATAGTTTGAAATATTTATTAAGAACAGCAGTAGCAATCACTATATGACAATATTTAATGTCCCACTTTGACAAAATGATGAAATATTTTGAATAACTTGATGTGTCTCCAATTTGTCTCTTCCAATAATAGGTAAAAAACAAAATAGTTTTTTTAAAGTATATAAAGACTCACATATAATGGAATACAAATATCAATACAATTGCACATGGATGCATTAAAATTTTTGACTTTTCTTCTCAAATTAAATTAAAATAATGAAACTAGTTTGGTGTGAATTATCTATTAGAATTATTAGAAATATGCTAATCAAAAAATGAAAATATTTATTTATATTATTTATATTTTAGATTCAATGCTAATCACTTTATTATTGGTAGGTTACTCTAAAACTAGAACCAATGTTCAAGCGATCCCTTACATATTTAGCAAAAAATGATTCAGATTTAGGATTGGAAGTGGTTAGTTTTGGACATGAACATGAGTTTGCAGATATAACATGGTACCCAAGTCAAATGAAGGCTATATATCGATTTGATGGTCGTGTTCCTGTAAATACATCTGGCAATGGTCTCTATGACTTTATTCCTTTCCGTCCAACTTCTTCAATTCTATTGGCCGGCATAAGAACACAAGGCGAGTTTAACTTTTTTGTTGGTTCAAACTCGTGTCACTGTAATATGATATTTACGTAGTTATCAACTGAGCTGATTAACGAGACAGATCATTGCTGATGTTTTTTACTTCTTTTAATGTTATCGTTGAAAATGCAGAAGACCGAGATGAATCCACCGGTGATGTTAATGGAAAGTGTAGGCTTGCAAAGCTAACAACAAAGGCTCTAATTGCATCTGCTTATGGCCTAACCAATAATGGTAATCTCCATCAGTCAAAATATATTGTAAGTAATAAAAAATTTGAATTAAAAAAAAATCAATTTTAATTATTTTATAATTGTAGGCATAATCTTTACTGGATATCCTATAATTGGATTTCAAAACCGTCTTCAATCATCGGGGTCATGTTTGGATAGTGTTCATAATGCAAAGATAACAGTATGTGCTTGGGATTCAAGAATAAAAGGAGAGTTTTTTCACCAAACCACATTTAAAATAAGTGTAGCTTTAGTGAAAAACTTTATTGAAGATATACAAAAGCTAGTTGAATTAGAGCCTAAAGGGTTATGTGGAATTGAACAATACAATGGAATATTAATGCGTTATGTCAAAGCTTCGAGTGCTTATTTAGGGAACCAAGAAGATGCTATAGACTTTGATTTCACATATTATCGTAGCAAAGATCCAATGATGCCTAGGCTTTATGAAGACATTATTGAAGAGATTGAGCAGATTGGGATGTTTAAGTATGGAGGGTTGCCTCATTGGGGTAAGAATAGAAATTTGGCATTTGAAGGTGTTTCTAAGAAGTACAAAAATGTTGGAAAGTTTTTGAAGGTGAAAGAGAAATATGATTCACAAGGGCTTTTTTCTAGTACTTGGACAGATCAAATGCTTGGATTAAAAGAAGGTGTTACAATATTGAAAAATGGATGTGCTTTAGAAGGTTTGTGTATTTGTTCGGAAGATAATCATTGCAATCCAAGTAAAGGGTATTTTTGTAGACTAGGAAAGGTCTACAAGGAGGCAAGGGTTTGTTCTCATGTCTCATTAAATTAGGGGTGTCAAGATTTTAAATATGGTCATTTTATAAGTATTGATGAATAATTTTATAAAAATATGACAATATAAACCGAATAATTTATGTGTAATTTGTTATTTAGGTATCATCGTCAAACAATATGTTTTATCTGATTATAAAAAGGAAAGGACATATACTTTTGCTTCTCAAAATGTTTTTGAAGTTATGTGTTTTAATATAATAGATGGACATGTAGCTCAATAATTCCTTGATTTTAGATGAACGGCTAAATATATTATTATTATTATTATTATTATTATTATTATTATTATTATTATTATTATTATTATTATTATTATTATTATTATTATTATTATTATTATTATTATTATTATTATTATTATTATTATTATTATTATTATTATTATTATTATTATTATTATTATTATTATTATTATTATTATTATTATTATTATTATTATTATTATTATTATTATTATTATTATTATTATTATTATTATTATTATTATTATTATTATTATTATTATTATTATTATTATTATTATTATTATTATTATTATTATTATTATTATTATTATTATTATTATTATTATTATTATTATTATTATTATTATTATTATTATTATTATTATTATTATTATTATTATTATTATTATTATTATTATTATTATTATTATTATTATTATTATTATTATTATTATTATTATTATTATTATTATTATTATTATTATTATTATTATTATTATTATTATTATTATTATTATTATTATTATTATTATTATTATTATTATTATTATTATTATTATTATTATTATTATTATTATTATTATTATTATTATTATTATTATTATTATTATTATTATTATTATTATGGTTATTATTATTATTATGGTTATTATTATTATTATTATTATTATTATTATTATTATTATTATTATTATTATTATGGTTATTATTATTATTATTATTATTATTATTATTATTATTATTATTATTATTATTATTATTATGGTTATTATTATTATTATTATTATTATTATTATTATTATTATTATTATTATTATTATTATGGTTATTATTATTATTATTATTATTATTATTATTATTATTATTATTGCTGTTATTATTATTATTTATTATTATTATTATTATTATTATTATTATTATTATTATTATTATTATTATTATTATTATTATGGTTATGATTATTATTTTATTATTATTATTATTATTATTATTATTATTATTATTATGGTTATTATTAATATTATTATTATTATGGTTATTATTATTATTATTATTATTATTATTATTATTATTATTATTATGGTTATGATTATTATTATTTATTATTATTATTATTATTATTATTATTATTATTATTATTATTTTTATTATTATTATTATTATATTTTAGATTTGGTTTAATTTTTATGATTAAGTTTATGATGGACTTGTCTTTAGTTTGTTACGTGTAAAATCTCTATGTTTTCTTTTTAGTAAGTTTTATTAATTATTCAATAATTTGTTTTATGTATAATGTAATAATTTAATTATATATAGTGATTTTGATAAAATAGAAATACTGTGATTAATTTTAATTAATTGTACTATCTATTTTATGATAATTATAAATCTATTGAAGTTAATAATAGCATTGAGTGTTAATTTCATCTTTTTATTTTATTATTTTAATAATTTTATAAATATAAATATATGTATTTTAGTAAATAAGATTTTAATTATAGGAGAGTTGTAATTGAACTAAGTGTTTGAAATAAAGTAGCGTGAGTTAGTAAATAAAGGAGTCAAGCCATGAATAACAAACACATAAAATAGAAAATAAAAATATTTTTCCTTAATTTGCTAAAGAGAAAAACAACTCATTCATCAACATCAAGTGTGGAGAAAAACAAAATTTCTGTTTCGGGATAGTTGTCGAAATTTTTTTCTCCATTTATTCTAATGTTCAGTATGTTATTTCTTATAATTAATTAGTTAAAGTCGTACATTTATTTTATTTTTCATTCATTTTTTTATATAATAAAAAATATTATTTCCCGTTTCATTAACACAACTATTTTGTTTGTATCTTTATTAATGTAAATTTGATTTATGTGGAACCAATGGCAAAAAGACTGAGAGAATATAAATCATATTTTCCACAAGTTTAGTTTTTGTTTTGGGGTAAGTTAAATTATCTAGTTTTAAAATTTACCATTTTCTAATATATTTTAATATTTTATTTTTAATTTTTATTCATAAAGTATAAAACACAAAATTATATATATATATATATATATATATATATATATATATATATATATATATATATATATATATATATATATATATATATATATATATATATATATATATATATATATATATATATATATATATGGCAAAATATCTATTTTGGTCTTTTAACTATAGGTCATGGTTCACTTTGGTTCCTTAATTTTTTTTTGCGTTAAATTGGTCTCTTAATTTTCAAAATGATGCAAACAAGTCCCTTTCGTCTACCCCGTTAGTCAAAGTCTGTTAAAAATCTACGTGACACATTTGATCAAATATTGTAACAGAGCTGGCGCCGGAAAAACCGACGCTAAAAGCTATTTTTGGATTTTGACTATTATTGTTCATCTTCTTCACTAATTTTTTAATAATAAAACTCTAACCATTGAATCAACAACCTATTTTTAGAACATTGAAATAATTTATAAAACATTGGAACAAATTTACAACAAAGGGTGAGAAAACTATTCAAATCCAAATCAATATCCCAATTTGATATCCTGTTTTGGTAGCTATATAGCCCAAATACTTCCAAATCACGAATGGAAGTTAAAATTGTCTTCCAGAGCTTTGGATGTTACAAATTTATGATCTTGAAGGGGTTGTACATGCCTATGCTGGAGAAAATTGGTCAAGTGGGAAGGCCGCTCAAGAATGCAAGATTTGTGAAATTGAAGATCTTGAGTGTGGTTTTGTTTCAGGATCAAGTCCACATTCAACCCATTTCTCCTTCATGCAACCTAGTTGCAAACACTACCTTTCAACCTTTCTCCCGTTCTTCCAATTCCAATACATCTTTTTTGTTTAAAGAAAACCTTGGCCAAATTCTGCTTCATGGGGCTTCTCTCACACTCGTGTATAACCTTCTCTCTCTTAAACATCACTAAGTTTCCATTCTTGTAAACCAGAGATGTAATATTTTGTCTCGCTCTGGCCCTCTCGATTCTAGTGTCCTCGCTTGTGACTTAGAGGCATACAAATGCATATTTTTATCTCTTTTAAATTAGTTTCATATTGTGTTTGTTATTTGTGCTTCAAACTAGTTGTAGTTGGGTCTGTTTGTTAGGGTTTAGTTCTCACCCTTTGCTGACAAAATCAATTTGGGATATCAATTTGGGTTTGAATTATTTTCTCACCCTTGTTCTAAATTTATTTCAATATTTTATAAATTGTTTCAATATTGTAAAAATTGATTGCTGATTCAATGGTTAGAGTTTTATTGTTAAAAAAACGGGGAAGAAGATGAACAATAATAGTCAAAATCCAGAAATAGTTTTTAGCTTCGGTTTTTCCGACGCCAACTCCGTTACAATAGTTGGTCAAATGTGTCAGTAGACTTTTAACAGACTTTGAGTAACAAAATAGACGGAAGGGACTTGTTTGCATCGTTTTGAAAATTAAGAGACCAATTTGGCGCAAAAAAAAATAAGGGACCAAAATTGGTATTTTTCCTATATATATATATATATATATATATATATATATATTGTTGTAACGCTTGCCGTCAAGAACTATGAGAGAGATTAGGGTTACCCAAGAAAATCTTTAGTTTTTATGAAAGAGAGTGGAGAGGGAAGAAAAAGAAGAAAATCGAGATTGATTCTAACTGTTTTACTATTCACCTTCTCAATTATGGCTAATTGATTACAAGGAAGTAACAACAACCAATTTCTCTCTCAACAACTTGATAAAAATTATTTATTTATAGACTACTAAATTAACTTACGTAACAAGCTAACTTACACAATTGGACTAACAGGACGGCCCAATTCGACATGCTAAGAACCTAGCATATTTTGACATCTGCATGCTTGAACATACTTCAACTATTGTTTAACCAACCCTTCTCAAGACTAGAGTTCGATGAATTACCACAAATCTCCACCTTGGAACAAACTCTACAACATAAGGTAATCAAACTAGCTTTCATCATGCAACTTTATCAACTGCATGCAATGGAAAAACTTGCAACTTGGCAATGTCTTGGTGATTATATCAGCAACATTGTGATATGTTGAAGCCTTCAACACTTGGAGTTCTTCATACTCGATTATCTCTTTGACAAAATGCAGCATCACATCGATGTGCTTGGTTGGTTTATGATAGGATAATTTCTTCGACAGGTGTATTTCACTTTAGATGTCTCATTTAACAGTGATTTCTTGACCTTGATTTCTCAGCTCCTTAGCAAACCTTCAAGCCACAATGCTTATTTCACAACTTTAGTGAGGGAAATATATTTTGCTTCAATGGTTGATAAGGAAACAAACTTCTGAAGTGTCTCTTTCCAAGTGATCATTATGCCAAACATAATGAAAACATATTCAGAAATAGATTTTCTGGAATATATACAACCTTCATAATCAGAGTCAAAAAATCCTTCAATTTCTACTTTTTTATCATCATCTCACGCTCCACTATAAAATAGGACTCTTTTCAAAGACCCATTTATGTACCTTAAAATTCACTTCAATGCTTGCCAGTGCGCCTTTACAGGATTGACCATATATCTACATACAAGGCTTACTGCATATGTTATACCTAACCTAGTACACACCATAGCATATATCAAAGAACCTATTATGTTAACATATATATGATATTCATATATGCCATTTCGACCTTATTACTAGGACACTGAGTTATATTGAGCTTGAATTAAGGATTTGTCAAAGTCACAACACACTTTGAATTCGACATGCCAACCTTGTCGAGAATCTTCTGCAGGTATGTCTCTTGAGATAAGCATAATGTCGACTGCTTTATATCTCTCCAGATGTCAACCCCAAGGATTTTGGTGACATTACCAAGATCCTTCATCTCAAACTCATGTCTGAGTTCATCCTTTACCCTCAATACTTCTTCGACATTGTCGCTGGCTATGATAATATCATCCATATAAAGAAACATAATTACAAGTGAACTCCCAAGCCAAAATCTGAAGTAAACACAATGGTCGAACTAAATTCTATTAGAACCTATGTGTGCCATGAACTTGTCGAATCTCTTATTTCATTGTCGAGGATATTGTTTTAGACCATACAAACACATATTCAATTTGCACACATAAACCTCTGTAGTTGTTTAGTTATTGGCTTGCATTTTTGGTAAAACCCAAGTGTGTATGTGTGAATGTCATGACTGATGTCATAACATTCTAGTTTAGTTTGTACTGATTCATTAGGTACCTTTGCAGAAAAATATTGTCATACAGGTACTGATGTTTATAAGTGTGTATCTGAGCATTTTGCAAAATGATCACATTTTCCTAAATCAGTAGACAGGTTTTCTCAGATGTCATAACAGATGTTAAGACATCCTGTTCTGAACTAACAGGTTTTCAGTTTGGTTAATTCTGAGTTTTTTCAGGAAAATAACTCAGTCTTTCCAGAACAGAATCCTGCGTTTTCTTTGGGTTAACCTAGCTCAACCCTAACCTGGTTAATAGAGTCCTGTGACCTAGTCTTAAGGTCAAACGGAATTAACCCTAGGTTTTTGTGGAAACCCTAACTGAAGTTGCAGCTGCTATATATTCAACAGAGCTGCTGTTTTGCAAGGAATCCCTTTTTGACAGAAGATCATTTAGAAGCTGTATAGTTTTTACTATTGTAATCCAAGCAATTATCATTGTGATAAGTGACTTGGAATAGGTTTTAATTGTAAGGGTTGTGTAGCACTCAAAGCTTTGAAGCAAGAGTGTTTGTATGTCTCTTGACTAAAGCTGTGAAGCAGAGTCAAGTTAAGTGTGTGTATCACTCAAAGCTGTGAAGCAAGAGTGGTTGTGTTGCTTGATTAAAAAGCTGTGACATTGAGTATCTGCAGCCAGAATTTCAATTGGTATCAGAGCAGGCACCCTGCCTGTATTACTGGGTGAGATCTAGGGATATCACTTTCTGGCACTATGGACAAAGAAGGAGTTTTTAGAAATAGACCACCCATCCTGGATGGAACTAATTATGACTACTGGAAACCTCGTATGATTGCCTTCTTAAAATCTCTGGACAAAAAGGCTTGGAGAGCTGCTGACAAAGGATGGATCCATCCCACCATAACTGAGAAAGATGGGACAATCAGTCTGAAGCCTGAGGAAGACTGGAGTAAAGAAGAAGATGAGTTATCCCTGGGAAATTCCAAAGCCTTAAATGCCTTGTTCAATGGAATTGACAGAAACATTTTCAGACTAGTACATCAATATGAACTGGCCAAGGAAGTTTGGGACACTCTCAAAACTACCCATGAGGGCACTTCCAAAGTGAAAATGTCAAGGCTTCAGATGCTGACTACCAAGTTTGAGAATCTAAAAATGATGGAAGATGAAACCATTCATGAGTTTCACATGAACATCTTGGAGATTGCCAACACCTCAGGAGCACTGGGTGAAAAGATGTCAGAAGAAAAATTGGTGAGAAAGATTCTCAGATCCTTGCCTAAAAGATTTGCAATGAAGGTAACTGCCATAGAGGAAGCCCAGGACATCAGCAAGTTGAAAGTGGATGAACTTATTGGGTCTCTTCAGACTTTTGAGATGGGGATCACTGATAATGGTGACAAGAAGAACAAGAGCATAGCACTTGTATCCAACACTGATGTTGAAAACAAGGAGGATGAAGAAGAAAATATTTCAGAAGCTATAGCCATGCTTGGAAGACAGTTCAACAGACTCATCAAAAGTATAGATCCAAAGTCAAGGTCTAATGTTCATAACATTCCCTCTGACATTGACAGTTCCAGCAGAAGACCAAGGTCAGAAGAGAAGGGAAACCAAGGCAGAGGAATTCAATGCCATGGTTGTGAAGGATATGGGCATATTCGAGCTGAATGCCCTACCTTTCTTAAGAAACAAAAGAAAGGAATGACTGTTACTTGGTCTGACTGTGATTCAGAAAGTAATTCTGAAGAAGAATGTGCCAAACTTGTTACTGCTCTAACTGGTGTCTGTACCTCTGAAAGTGACACTAGTGATGAAGAAGTGACATTTGAAGAACTGGATGATACTTACAAGAAATTGTGTATCAGAAGTGCTGAAGTCTGTGTGCAGAATGAGAAACAATCAAAGCTCATCATAAAGCTGGAGGCTGAAAAAAGGGAAGATCTTGAAACCATAAGTCATCTAGAAGGAGAAGTTCAATTGCTGAACTCACAACTGAATCAAATGACCAAATCTGTCAAGATGCTGACTAATGGAACAGACAAACTGGAAGAGATACTTCAGGTTGGACAAAATGGAGGAAACAAATCTGGACTAGGATTTGTGGGAGCAAAGAAATCTGGTACAAACAAGAAGATCAGGCCTGTTAAGCAAATGTCAAAGCAGATGTCTCAACACAATTCTCAACATCGGGAACAGAGACATATGAAGAAAAAGTACCAAAGATGGAGATGTCATCATTGTGGGAGATATGGCCACATAAAGCCCTTTTGCTTCAGATTGCATGGATACCCTAATCAGAACTCAGGTGTCAAACCTAAGTCTAAAAAGGTACCACATGCTCCTAAATGGAAGAAAAAGGCTACTGCCCTGATAGCCCACACTTCCCTGAGGGTCTCTGCAAAGGAAGATTGGTACTTTGACAGTGGATGTTCCAGACACATGACTGGAATCAAGAACCTCCTCAATAATGTTAAGCCTCACACCACCAGTTTTGTGACCTTTGGAGATGGTGCTAAAGGTGAAATCAAAGGAGTTGGTGATTTGGACTGCCCTGGAGTTCCAAGTCTGAATGAAGTACTGCTGGTAAAAGGGATGACTGCTAATCTCATTAGTATCAGTCAACTGTGTGATCTAGGATTCAAGGTCAATTTCTCAAAATCTGAATGTCTGGTAATCAATGGAAAACAAGAAATTGTAATGAAAGGAGTCAGATCCAAAGATAATTGTTACTTGTGG